ATTAATGGACGTAAATATTTATTCAACATCATTAACAGGCATAAACATCTATCGAATATCATTAATAGGCATAAATATTTATCAAGTTTATTAAACGTTTAGTATAAGTTTAAATAGCTCTGCACATAATGTAATGATTTATTGAACAATAAAATTTATTAAATATTTGAATGATTTATGATATCTAAACAGCTGGACTTTTTATTGAAAAGCATAGAATTTACAATGTATAACTTTAATATGCTTTCTTATTAATTATACATCTTCTCACAGTCTTTCCTCTTGCTGTAGTTATGATATTTCTATCATTTTTCTCCATTTCAGTTGTAGGTACAGTGTAACCTATTCATTCATTACTCCCTCACTATCTATATCTACCCTCCTGACGCCTTCCCCTTACCCTTCCATAGCCCTAACAAAGAACACCTGGTCGAACATTACTCTGCTTATCGACAAGGCTACATAACAACGATCGCTTGGCAATAGTCTGATAGGAAATTAGTTAAAACTGAAATTTAGTCTAGTTCTTGTAGTTTCGGTATGTTTACAGAAATATTTATACGAGAAAGAGATGTGTTATAATTATTTAAATAATTTATATATATACATATGTAGTTATTGGTATATGATTTTGTATGTATATATTATTATTGAATTATTTACGGATAAGTAATGTATATTATTCTAATATATTTTTTCAAAGTAGTTGTCCGTATTTATAAAAAATATTGTATTATATAATTTCTTTAATAAATAATATGCACATCCCAATCAACATTGCTAATATAATTTATCACGTAAATTTAACAGGTATCTTGATATTGTTTTACAGCCAAACAAATGCGTGTATCACATGAAAGGGATAATACCCTATAATATTATTAATTACAGCATAGACATTTAATATTTTCATCAAGTAATAACGATGTATATCTTTGAAAATTAATATCATTGTATAAATAAAATTTATAATACCGTTATTCCTCACAGTATTTGGAATTAAATAATATTGATTGGGTTTGCCATACAGCATTCTCGTATCTCTTTGAAATATTTAATTAATTAATTATTTGATTGGACGGTTCACCATTTTACTATTATCATATATATTCTACTCTTCTATTCTATTTATGTTGAATACATCTTCTGAGGAGTTTAATAATTACGTTTATCGCTTTCAAAAATAAAGAGTCGTTATGAGGGACGCTGGCACTTTCTGGACAAATTTTTAGCGTCGCTCACAGGGATGTTGACACGCTGCGGGTTAAAAATAAAATAAATTTTGCGAACGTAGCACGAATAAAATGGTACGGTAAAGGATTAATAAACACATAAAGACATGTATCAGAAAAATAGTAGTATCATCAATGTTTACTAAGTCAAAGTGCACGTATGCTGATAGTAACTTTTGTCAATTATTCGAGTTTGACATAATTCGAAGAAACAATCAAAACATTTCCCGTTCACTAATACCTTTCCTAATGGATTTATGCGTGGCAATTCTAATCAGTCGTGTCTCCGCATCCATTGAGAATTCAACAAACGTTTACATGATCAGTTCCACTTAAAATAATCGATGTTGCCACCGATGAAAACATATCGGCCTCACCGAAATACTCTGTTTGTGTATTCTTAACACAATCAAGTAGAATGAACTTCTGCAAAGTTAACACTCAATTTTGCCTTGATTTTTCAACATTATATATTGATGTTATTGTCATAAAAGTGTAGAATCTATAAAACTCTAAGTACTGAGAAGTTTCTTAATCAGTTTAAAGAAGGCAACCCTTTTTTGCACAACGTGCATCTATATGTCTTAAAGAATAGAAAAACATAAATATTTATGAAATCGTAGTGGAAAAGTTAATAAAAACACGTGTAAAATTATCTGTTTACAAACTGCAATATTACTTTTAGCGTTCATCAAAAATTATTGCACATTAAAATCGTCAAGTTATGAACAATTAAAATTTTTCCATTCTGCATCTATTTAATCCAACAACAAGATGTTTGCTATTTCTTGAAAACTTATTCGAAAAAAATATTCAATAGTTAAAATACTACAGAACTGTAAAGTATAAAGATATTTTCTTACTGTTTAATATTTGTAATAATTTGTAAACAATAGACTGCAACTATTAATTTGTAAACATTGAAAGAATTCATTTAATAAAAATAAAGTTGTACGAAATTTCAAACATGGATACTTGAAATTCCAAGCAGAAATGAGATCTCTAAACATAATTACGAAAATTCAGCGTAATAAAAAATAATTGCATCAAATAGTATGCATTGATATATTTTTGGTAAGAATTTCTAATCAACAATAATCCAAAACATATGTTTATTTGAAATTTCTTTCATTCAATTATGCTGATACGAGCGTGAAATTTAATACCAATGAGGTAGTATATATATCATTATCTTTGAATCACCTATTTTAATTTAGCGCAAGTACGAACATTCCATATTAATTCGATACCTTTATGCTTCATATTTCTCACTTTGTTAAAGCTGGAAATAGTATTTGACAATTTTCTCTAGTTTTTTCTTTAAAATTCCTCTAAAATTAAAGTTTTATCTCTGCAATTATTATACAAGATTTAAATTTAATCACATAGATTTAGAATTGGAATGTGACTCAATCAGAAATCAACAGCCTTGACTAATTTTAATCAACTATTTTTAATATGGATCACTTTTAAATCTCTTTCATTCTCTGTTGTATTTCTATTTTGAGCTATACATATATAGCTCAAAAGTTTAAAATCACTCAATTATTCAGAGAGAAATGTGAACATTTCAATGAAAATTTTTAAAAATGTTATTACTAACGTCTAATTACCTAATAAGAAAAAGAAGTATTATAAACTGCAATAATTTAGTTAAAAATGTATAATTCTTAAATAAAATGAATAAATTAGATAAAAATTTAACAAATTTACTTACTGAAACGAGAAACGTACAAGACAATGTCATAAAAAGAAATTTCTACTGAATCTATCAAAAGAAAAAAATAGTAATCTATATTATTGTTTCAATTCTAGAAGAGACTGCTTTCTATTAAAAGTGATCTGAAATTCTTCAGTGGTAATGTATCTGAAAAAAGTAATTGAACAAATCCTTATAGAAAGCTTCATACCAAAAAAAGTTTATGATTGTCAATGATTAATAAAATAAACGATTGCCCGAAGAAAAATCAATACTTAAGTAATCGCGGAGGAATTGTTTCAGATTAAGAAGACCGTCGAGTTTATGTGCCATCTGTTATATGCACAGAAAAAGTTTCACAATAAAATTGGGGAATTATCGAGCATGCGACGTGTTCAAACTCGTTTGAACACAAAAAGATTTAGTGTCTAACAAGATGTCAGTAACGTCTTCCGAGAACTTTTTCTAAGCAAATTACAAATGTCTACGAACAATTAACGAGGAACTCGGAAGAATTACATTGTCGATTGAATAATTTAATCTTAATTTAAAAAGTAAGTTTATATGTAAGAAAAGAAAAACGCAAAAACTTTTAATCCAAGTTAGTGACCATTTTCTTTAATGGCATATGCAAAATTGTCACAAAGGCACCGTATGAGTAATCTAAATAATTTCTTAATCAGTCAAATCAGGTGCACTTGAATCAGTCTGGTCATAATTGTATAAGAAAATTTCATAATTAATTATACTTGGCAATGGTAATTGTTAATATTTTGTATTCAAAATTTTATTAACAGTTTAAAAAGATTCTGATTAGCGACAACTATGAATAATTTCTAAATATAATTTATTTCTTGAAATGAAACTCAGTGAAAAGATTTTTGAAAGATCGATAACTACACAAACTCGTTTCAATAATTTCTTATAATTCGTTACGTATCAATTGTTTAATTGTAAATTCAGTTCAGTACTACTTCCATATTTATAATAAATTACATCGATGTACTTATGTGATCAAGTAAACGTTTTCTAATTTATATCCATTTCTATGATACTGAAAAATAAGGAATGGTCTAAAACAAATAAAACAAAGTAAAACTCTTTATTTCTAACCACAAGATTTAATTATAAGCGGAATGTTCGATTCGATTTATTTTTCCTATCAAGCTCCAATCCGCTTTATCAAGTGATTCCCTTTGGTTCGAAAATCAAAGAAGTTCTTATGGGTTTAATGGTCAAACGTATAAAAGACATCTACAAACCTTTTCATTAGAAATTTTGCGCTTTACATCTCTTTCAAATTATCGAGAACACTAACACTTCTCGATACGAAAACTTACTTGCAAATATGTGAAAGCAAATTGATATTAATATTAGTAGATTAAAGTTAAGTACGACCATCAAATGATCGTAATTAATAAATGATTTCAGCATTCTCGGAATAATTTATTGTGTATTCTAATTATTAATGTTTTCAAGGAATAAAGTAGATTTTTAACTGATACGCACAAATTAAATCATGAATAGCTTCCACTACTTTATCAATAATGAAATTTATATAACAGTTTGGTTTCTAAATACCAGTTTACTTATTTATAATTCTAACGTTTAATATGTTCCATATTTATGAACTACATATTTTCAGATAAATTTCATAAATTATTTAACTTGTACAATAAGCTATAGAAAAAGGGTTGTTTTAAAGGATCAGTTCCCAAACATTTATAACTATAAGTCCTAATTGTATTTTAAAATATACTTCCCAAACTCAAACATATTCAACAAAACTTAAAATCAAAAACCACTGCATAAACAAACACGATAATCCTCCTCAAACCTGCACGAAAGGAAAACCTGTTACACCGTTCGTGACAAAAAATCTCGCCAAAAACTGTCAAACGTAAAATAATATAAAATTTCCGTTAGTCTTGAAGAACAATAGTAACTAACAATCAGACTTATTCGAGGATCTATAAAAATACAACTGTAAAGTTCGTATAATCTTCGGGACAAAGGTCGAAGCGGTTGAAATTGGAAAGTGAAACTTATGTGAAATGTAGCAAACTTACGAGGGGCAGATGTAACTGGTTGACAATTGAGACGTAAAGTAGAAGGGTCACGAGGTAGCTTCTGGTCAGGCTCATGTCGGCGACAACTCAGCGATATCCTTTCGGCGTCGTTCGACAAATCCGAATACCATTTTAGAACGTGCCCGCTTCCTTATATAGGGATCCATTTCACCCCGCGCAGGCGTCTCAACCCCCATAGCACACCTACACCGAATGGTACCCTATTCACACCATCACTGACAGTCCTGTTAGCGAACTATGCAATATGCATACACGCGATACCGTGGATCTCGTCCTCCGCGGATACATCGCAAGGAAAAAAGAAGACGAACCCCAGCCGGGCCATCGAGGTAGAAAAAAAGGGATGCGATTTTAAACCGCGACTCGGTTAATATACCGCGGATTATTGCGTGTCAGTGGAGGAACCGAGAGCTACGTTTCTCATTTTCTCTCGCGGAGCCACATGTTATTGGTACTTTTAACACGTTTGCGACCGATGACGTGAATTCACGTCTTCCCGGATTCTATTCCCGGTTTGTCGCTACCGTTTTACGTCTTTGGGAGTACTACTCTTTAACACTTTGAATAACGTGGCAGTCAAATTCGAGTGACATTTTATAGAAACTCATACATTAATTTCCTTGGTGAACGAACCAAATTTTGTTGGATGTTTAAGATATAAGGAAGAGAGTATTATAAAGGAGCTTGGCTTTTTAGTTTGTACTCAATTGACACTAAAACTACCGAGCGAGTCAAAATGAGTTATTCCTGATTTCTTCTTTTTGCGATTATTAAGCCTTTACAGTCGGAAGCTTTTCACTGGAAACATTCGACACTTTCCGATGAGACGTAGACGACGCTATTTGAAACGAACTAATGAGAAAACATATGTAAATTAAGGAACAACGCCATTTTATTTCAGTATGTTACATATTGATGCATTATACAAAACTTAATATTATATATAACACTTTGTAATTTTGTTGTATCAAATCAAATGGTGACTGAGAGTCGCCTCTCGTGTGCAAAGAGTTGAAAAGATAACGAAAAAAGAAGCGTGCTTAAGTTTTGCAAATGATTCTAACAAGATGTTACATCTATTCATAAAACTTCTTTGAAGTTTAAGTTTCCAATTCATCAATTTTAACAAAAGAATAATCTCTAAGAAATAAACTGTCTGTTGCCCGGTGCAACTGTGCTTACTAATTTTCACATTTTGCAAAGGAATAATTTCTAAAGAATAAATTGTTTGTTATAAACCCGTCAAACCATAACGTAGAAACAGTCAAAGATAATATATGAAATTTTCAAAACGAATTAATTTTTATTCGTTGTAATAATAAGCGTTTGTTGCCTGATCTTTTTAAAATTTTTTTAAGAAAATCTCTCAAATATAAGTAACAGACAGTTATTATTATGATAAATGAAAATAAATTTTATTTTAAAATTTCAGATATTATCTTCGACTGTTTCTACGCTGTGGTTTGACAGTTTGTACGCTTCCCCGAAAAAAAGAATGATTAATATAAATATTTTTTATTCTCTGCATGTTCTTATATCCACTTATTATTTTTCTACGTAGTTATCGAATGCTTGCAAATCGTTGTCACAGTAGGATGAAATCAGTTCACGTATCGCAACGACAAAAATTCTCGTCTGACTTTCCTACACCTCGTTAAGGTTGCTTCCGTACCGGTACTCGTCAATAACCACCGCCTGCCCGCTTTCAAATGCTTTGCACCACTTAATGACTAACTGACGACTCGGAGTATTTTGTCCATGCACATAAATAAACACACTTTTCATGCAACGTTTTATGGTTAAAGTAGGAAAAGACATAAACGTCTGACGCAATTGACTTGAAACTTATCGTTAACGATGTTGCATCGTTTTTATCGTATAATAACTACTAATTATAAATGACTACTTTATAAGGTAGTGAATTACTATCTTAAAGGTGTGGAGAAGTTGCTTATTCATCGACCCTCGTAATCATTTGTAAATACTTAAAAAATTCTCTTTCTATTGGGTTGACGTCAAAGTTTTGAGGTTCTCTTTTATAAGAAATAAGAAAAAGTGTTCTCAACTGTTCGCTGGCTAAACCAAAACTAAGTGAAAACGAAAAAACAGGTATCCTTTGTACATGTTATATAGTTTGAAGATAGATATTATTTGTTTCAAAGAAAAACATCTTTATTAAAGGAAAAAGTTCATTGACGTAGAACGTTCAAACATTTCGTTCAATAAAGTGTACTCCTAATAGATCATCGATGAAAATGAAACCATTCGTTCGATGTAAAAGAACTTTATAAGGGAAGAAAATTGAGAAGCCATTTAAAGATACAATGGAGTAATAAGAAGTCTTTTGAAGTAAAGCAGAAGAATTTAACAAAAGTAAACTATATTAATAATTCTTACAATTTCATCCGTATCAAGTTACCAGTATGTTACCTAATACTATATTATTTATGTACAAATTATTAATAAATATACATAAGATCTAATAAGATTAAAATCTGAAATATCTTTGTTTCGTTAGTTTCCGATGATGCAAAAGGTTTCTAAAGAAAAAGAAATCACTTCAGAGAGGCAAAAACACTGAAAAAGAACGTTCCCTCAGAGTCATAATATTATTCAAGATCATAGATGACATAATTATATTTTCCAATTAACTCTGTATTAATTTTACAAAGGAGAACCACTGAAATAATTTTTATTATTTAAATAAAATGTATAATGGATGATAGAAATTTCTTAACCACCAGTTGAAAAACTGAATATTACGTTTTTATTTAGAACAATGCAAATATTAAATTACTCCTTTGTCTGTTGAAGTGATAGAACTTAAAATACATTATACTAAAATGCACAGAAACTATTTTTGACCATTTCCAAGAAGCGCCTTGAATTTCGTGTATCGATTACACAACCTTTAAGCACATCCCTGATGACGGAAGAGCAGGCATCGTATTTTGATACTAGTTTCTTCGGGAATATATAATTTCAAACATAATTGAAAGCGTATCTTTGAGTTCGATCCAATAAGAGTAATGGCACAAATAAAATGCGAAAATGATACGTCATATTTTTAAGCCAAACCGAATGGGAGGATAGGTCTAAAAATAAATTTCGATGCTAGAAATTTCTAACGAGGACATGTATAATATCGAATATCGGTTTTAATAGAAGTAGTTTTTATAAAAGTCCGTGAGAGTTGTAACCTTTTCGAAAATATACATTACTGAGATGATAGATTTTGTTTCAGTTCTGCTGTTTTATCTTTACCAGTTTTCGAAACTGCTACGACTTCTTGACAAATTAACCCAATATTAAATTTTGTATAATGAATACGTGAAATGTTGAAACAAAATAACTTTCTTATTAATTCAGGTGTGTTTTCTCATTATTTAATTTCAAAGAATGTTATCTATGTCTCATCGGGAAATGTGAAATACGACTATATACTACAAAACTTTCGAGTGCAAAGGGTTAAACCTAGTACGTAATGATTCATCTCGAAAAAAAGCATTTATTCATTCACTTTTCATTGAAAACTCTTTTTCATCCAAGATATTCCTCCTATTGAATTCTGTTTTCCTTGAGGAGCTGGATTTTTTCTTATACTCTAAGTGATCACTTACTCATTGTTTATTTAGTCCTACATCTTCATCATACTGTTAAGCTTCAATTAGTGCTTTATAATTTTCAGTATTGAGGTCCCCAGTAGAAAAATGTACGACTATGTTAATTTCATAGGTTCTTTAATGAAATTTTTAAACAATGTAGTTACAGTAGTTTACATAGATTTACATATACAGATAAATAAGTGATGAAATTAAAATAAGTTTGGACGATCAATTTCTAATCCATTCCGATGGGTATAGCTCCTTAAAGCGTTCATATCGTTGTTTAGTCATGACTATTAACACGTTGACTGCCACAAGAATTTCAAACATTTTATATAGTGATACTTCTTCTCCCAAAACAAAGGCAAATGGTATTAGAACTAATTATTAATGATTTGGTATCAGTGTACTCATATTACACTATCATCTAGCTGCTTATGTTACTAAATATTTTTATTCAACATCAATTTCCTTATTATAGTTGCTTTCAAGTAATTTGTAAGCTCGGGTCATCGATGACCACCGTAGCAATCAACGTCTTAATTAGATTAACCCTATAATTATAGGTTTATGGTTTTACGAAATCCTTCAACTTAACGGATATTAAATTTCATAAATATTACTTGATAGAGGTTTATGTTAATTTTGACTGTCGCAATTATAAGAATGCGTTTTGGAAACGCTAATGATCTACATATATGAATGAACCCCTAATGTTCTAAGGGCAATACAATAAAGTGTACAAATGTAGCAGTATAATAAAGTTAACAGTTGTCATACGGTAATATTGTACCATTTGGAGTTGACGAGACTGTGAAAATAATTTTTACTTATATATAGAATAATCATTATTCCCATTTGTCGCTTACGGTTTTTAAACCGTACCTGTTATAGTTTCACGTAGTTCGGTAGCTAACCGTTTAATGTCACTAGGGTGCGCTTGAGTAATAGGTCATTTTCAGCGGTATCGGTAATACAGTCACATAAATAGAATTCCTTCTAGAGCGTATTACAGAAACAGACGATTTACAGGACGTACCGGAAATGCAATCGACAGACTTAAAATACGTTTAAACATCACATTTAATTTACTGACTGAAGATAACAAATATACTCATTATTCATATTCATCTTTATCTTCAGTTGATGTTTAATCTTCTTATTTATTTACCTACAGATTCTTCCATTAAATTGTATTAAAATATTCATATAAACGTAAACTAAATTGTAACTACATCCATTGCGAACTAATTCACTTCAATGCATTACCTATTTCATTTTCCGTTCGTGATTAAGAAATCACTCGATAGATTAATAAGATTTTGTTCAACAGGTGAATGAATTTTTCAAATTTCAATGTCATTTTAGTGTCACATCCGACATTACCGATGACCCATGAATGTTAGTAGGAATAGAGTATCCTCTATACTTTATTTGTACTATAGGCGTTTAATATAACTTATTGTTAGTGGAAACAAGTTCATAAGGCTCATACATTCAATGAAATAGTTTTCATCAATTTACAAGCATAAATATTTTTACTTTAAGAATTACATTCTGAGGTGAAGTTGTTTATATACATTGTACCATAAAACATTATATCTCAATAGCTTTTCATTTTTCTTTCATCACATATTTTGAACGAACGTTTTACGATTTACCTGCTAATATTAACGTGGACATTACATAGTCATTAATCGCGAAATTTTTAATCATTTTTCTCACTGTTATAATATATATTTTTAACCCTTTGCACTCGGACGTTTTTCACTAAAAATATTTTCACATTTTCTGATGAGATAAAGACGATATTTTGTGAAACTAACTCGAAGAGAAATCACACGTACATTAAGCAACGAAGCTATTTTATTTCAGTATTTCTCTAATTAATGCATTATACGAGGTATAATATTAAACATCAAGTTTTACAGTTGTACTGTACGAAATCAAGTGGTGAGTGAGAGTCACCTCTCGAGTGCAAAGGGTTGAATTTATGAAATATATAAATTTTCATTCATTTAGAAGTACAAGTGCTTGCATCCAATTTTAAATACATATAATTTATACTTCACGAGGTCTCAATATACTTCATTTACGAATCCTTCGTTTTCGTGAAATTTATAACATAATAGTTAAATGTGTTTAAGGTCAATACCATAAGAATGGGTAAGAAAGTTTTATTTTATAAAATTAGCTACGGAAATAAGTGATATATCGACTGTGCATGTGTGCAGAAATTGTTTGACGAAGTTGGGAATTGCAGTGTGAAACGCGCATGCGCACGGAAGTTGTGTTCAATGAATATAGCTTCGAAGTTTCACAACACCAAGTACGCATGCGTATAGAAGTTGGAGACCCCTTTCCTAAGATCCTATAGGCAAACTTCTAAGAAGAAATACTTTGGCATAGTGTGCTACTGTGTTGAAGTCAGGATCCAGTGGATCCTTAACTTAAAATAAATAGTTGATAATGATAATGAATAAATAAACGATAATACTGTAATTTTATATTTCGTTACTTATCTTTCCATGAAGATTCACCGTCCTTCCAGTTGGACTATCAATTACAAGTCACTCCGTATATCATAAAAATGTCTCAAACGTAATCAGATCTTATTTTAAGGATCTATTTACCACCACCCTCCTCTAAAATGTTTATGTACTAAAATGACTGAAATTGAACTTATTAAAAATTACACATTATAATTACAAAAGTTATTTATTACATTTCATCAGTTTATATAAAATATTTATATTCTATTATATATCACACCATGGATATTTTTACAATTTGTTGTGAGTTGCAATTATTTTTCTATGTATAAAATAAAGGAATTTGAATGATGCCGATAGAGTTACTTTTGCTAAACCTGTTCATACATACGATTAAAGCGCGATAATATGTCACGACGTAATTATTATCGATTATTCAAATTATTTCTGAGGTGTACAAGGATGCCCCGTTATAAACAGATTTTCAATTACTGTATCGTGCAATTTTGAGTGAGAATTTACATACTTCGAAATATCGATGAAACCATCTGTCTCGACTTGACAGAAACAAAATTTTATGCTGGAAAAAATCTAAACTTTGATTTCCATTTTCAATCAAAGTAGAATCAATATTTTTGTTTTAAAGAATTAACTGTCTTACTTACAAAAACAAAACGTTAACAAAATTGTTTATTTTAATTCGTGTAAAATGCTAACAGAAGTTTCTCATGTATTAAATTAATTTTAATAAAAAAACGGTTGGAAGTTATAAGTCTCTGGTACATGAAATAACGTAATTTGTTTAAAACATCCAGTATTGATCAAGAAAATAGTGTCAAAGTTTCTCATAAGAAGCTCCGAATATGAATATAGATAACAGTTTTCTTTTAATCCTTTGTTTTTCAATTATTGGAAGATGTCAGCACAAATGCTACAATTATCTTTTTTTCCTGAATTAGACGAACGCAGCCTTCTCAATTATGAAAAAAAACAATGTTGTTCCAACGAAATCTACTATGCAATTATGTTAAAATAGATAATAATATGTACAACTATCGATGTCGGAGAAAGAAGTAAGCTACTATAATGGCGTATCATGCAAAAAGATAGCATACATGAAAGCCACTATAGTAGTTACCGTCTAGAAAAATATTCCGCGTTAGCCAGTATAGTGGCGTGCCGTAGCCAAGAGATTAATAATGTGTAATAATGAATTATTTTCCACAATATACTGAGATTTTAAGAATAATATTAGCATATAGTGGAATAAACAGGTCTAAATATACTTCCAAGATCACCGGACTAAGTAGGAAACAAATATGGCATTTAGGTGTTGCGCCATGTTGGATTTTTTAGCTTCAGGAAAAGAGATGATGTAATTATAAAAATTTAATGAATGTAATAGATTGATATACTTAAAAAAATTGACTATCATCAATACGATTGCGATGTATGAATTTATACTCGTTTATTTTAATCATGTGAATAATAAGATATTTTTGAATACATAAAATGAACAAAATTAGAGTAACTTAAATAAAGAAATAATATATTTTCGTAAATTTTTGAACACTATGTTCATGTTTTTACTCTTTCAATTGCTCAATTATAAATATCTAAAAAAATGTTGGATAATCGTAGATACAATTATGAAAAAAGTTATTTCCGTTATATCTATTTTCAGAGTTGTTTATAGCGAACTTTAACAGTATTTTTTGATCGAGATTAGATCTCCCGAATGAATGACACTTATTTCATTACTTAAGAGGTTATAACTTCTAATAATTATTGTATCAAAACTAATTAAAAATCTGGCAAACTTTCTTTGGAAGAACTAATATGAAAAGATTTTATTTGTTTGTAATAAAATGCAATAAAATGATTCACTTGCGATAGATCAATATGAAATAATTATCACGTCACTGATCCAACAGGTGACAATTATTGAAAACTGAAAGTATGTATTACATTATTCCAAGCATTTAATTATGTAGTACGTGTCCTATTAATGTTACAAACAACATCATAATAACCCGTATTTCTGTTAATTGGAGTTCAGCATTCCCGTCAATTGAACGTAAACTGATGTGTTTTTATGAAGTAATCCAATATTAACAAGTGGTTGTTTAATGATATTACAATTTATGAAATGTTGTTACACGTATTATGTACAAATTACTTCTAGATCGTGCAATATTTCAATACGGGAATCTAATCACTCTATATTTACGGATTATTACCGAAAGCTTATTATATGCATAATGTTAAAATAAGGTAAATAAAATGTTCAGGTATAAAAAAAACTCATATACGAAAGATCTCAATACTGATAAAAATGATTGACAAGCAAAATTCTAACGAAGTACTACACTTTTTCGAAAACATTTTTGTCTAAAATACGATATAATGAAATTTTGGCGTTATCTCTATTGCTTAAAACGTAGATGTAATTCATACGATTTTCTATGGATTCAATTATATAAAATCTGTTTATATGTTACAGGGCTAAAAGTATAAGTTTCATATGTATATTATGTAACTTAAAAAAGAAGAAAAC